AGAAGTAATAATTCACGATGGCAGCGCGGGCATATTGCTGAGGCAATTATTGGCAAACGCAAGCGGCTGGGAGCAGGCCAGTTTCACATTTGGTGGGTGGGTGAGAAGCAGACCACGTGGGAACCACACGAGAATTTACATCAAGTTACAGGGCTCATCCAAGCATTTGAAGCAATGCTAGCAAAGAAACCTAGGAAACGCAGACGCAAATAAAAATTAAACATCAGTGCCGTCGTACAGACAAGACGACGCACCAGGAACCAAGTCGAAGTCCAGGTCGAAATCCGTAGGATTTTTATTTTTTATTTTTGAAGTATATCACTTTTGTGTGCGGTGCACCACAACAAGTGTGTGATACAGTTTAAGTTTCAGGATAAAGTTCAAAATATACGAGAATCAAGGTAAAGGTAATTATGCCGGTATCAAACTAGCCCCAGCTACTAGTGCGACATTCTTCGCTCTTATGGACCAGTACTTGACGGACAAAGCGGAGCAAAGCAAGCCACGGCGTCGCGTAATTTAATAGCGGCTCGTGGACAATGGTGTCGTCGTAGGCGTATCGGACAGTAACAGCCAATATGCTGTGTCCGCGCTTAGTTTCCGGTAGGTCCGTAATAAAGTACTTCGAGATGGAGCGCCAACATTCCTCCGAAATTTATAAAGGCTTTATAAACCCGGGCGTCTTGTTCAGTCGTGGCTTGTTTCTTCTGCTGTCTTCACAGTCAGTGATGTACTTCTTTATCGTACGAAACATCCGTGGCCAGAACCAATCTGCGCCCAGGTTTAGGTATGCGCGACCCGTACCCGGATGTGCACCGTCATTGGGATCGTGAACTTCAGCGATGATACGATGTTTAAAGGCCAGAATATTCAGTACGACGATTCGGTGGCTGTCATCGTTGGTTCCTTGGTACCAGAGCAGCTTCTTCTCTTCGAAGTAGGATTTATACTGCTTTTCCATTACTCCGCGCGTTTCTATGAAGCTCTGGCGGCGCTTCAAGATTACACGTAGAATCTCCTTGGCGGCCTTATCCTTCGTAATCGCCTTGGTCAAGCCACATGTGGGTGTTATCTCCACAACACACGCAGCTGATAGCTTGACGCATTAGAACTTGGGACGGGTAAAACGTGAAATTTCTTGGTATCCGGCTTGAGTTCGGGTAGTCGACTCAAAGCTCAAAGCGTCGGCGCTTCCATTCTTGGCTCCGGGTAAGTAAACGAAGACTGGCTGGTACTTGGCGAAAATATCATACCATCGAGCGAGGCGTTGATTTGCCGTCTTCTGTTTGGAAGATGCCTTCGAGTGACTTGGGATCCGTTTCAATCGTCATATGTCGGTCCAAGCAGTATTTTCGGAACACAGCCAGCGCATTGACAATCGCGAGTAGCTCCTACTGTTGCGTAGGGTACTTTAGCTCTGCTGACATTATCTTCCCGTTGGTATACGTGATAGGTTATTCAACTCCTTTAACAACTTGCAAGATGACCCCACCAACCGCAAGCTGACTCGCATCTGCTCGTAAGTTCATCGATTGAGTAAAGTCAGGTAAGTGATACACCGGAGTGTTCGACAATTGTCGCTTCAGTTCATTGAAGTTCTTCAGCTGCTCATCATTCAGCGTTATCTTGGAGTTTCGTTGGTTCTTCTTCTTCTTGAGCAGTGTGAATAATGGTGCTGTTAATGTTGCGTATTGTTCACGGAAACGAAGAATTGATCCTGTTAGACCCAGAAAACGGTGAAGCTACTCTTGGGTCCGCGTAATCGGCCAGTCCCGGATTGTCTGCACCTTGTCCGGCTCGATGCGTACTCCATTCCGTCTTCGATACAGGGAATCCCTTCAGCCCACTCATCGATAGCTAAACAAATAGCTTGTTCCTCTTCAAAATTTCCAGTACCACGCGCAGGGCTTGCAAGGGCTCATTAATACCCCGTGACTTCGTGAGCACGTAAATATCATCATAGAAAGAGCGTGTGTGTACCAGACCTTTGAAGAGCGAAGACGTCAATCGATGCAACGCTGATGATGCGTTACTAACGTCCATCGGTAGCACCAAATATTCCTATAGACCACTGGGGGCTAGGAACGCAGTATACTTGATATACTCGGACTTCATCACAGCTGGTAGTACGCCGACATATGATCCACGCACGAAACGTAATAAGCTCCGGCCGTGCTGTCAAAAACATCCTCATTGCGTGTCATCGCTACACTCTGCCGGATTGTGTTTGTGTTGAGGTACCTGTAATCGTGAACGATCTGCCAACGAACGGGTTCGCGAACACAAAATGTTGGTGCGGCGTGAGGGCTAACGCTTGGACGGATCAACCCCTTAACGATCATTTCCCGAGCCCACTTGCCAATTTCTGCTTTCTGCTCCGGTTAGAGACGCCACTGCTGTCGGTACATCGCAATGCTTTGAACTTTCATATCGATATGATGTTAGAAGTTACGCTCCATGGGTAGTCGATCCGGCAGCTCGGGCTTAAACACATTATCCGTGTATTGAATCAGAAGCGGATAGGCCGGAATTTTCTCGAAAGACTTCCAGTCGGTGTGCAGAAATAGTATTGCCTTCTCATTATCTGGCATATCGCTTCGCTTGGCATCTTTTGCTATATCCCATATTGTATCGTCCGTCAGCACTTCAATAAAATCATGCTCCGGTTGATCGTTCCCAGGTAGCCTCAAGAATTTCCTTAGTCTCTTTCTCGTGATGTACGTCGTTTCGACTCCTTCCGAGTCTGTTATTTTAAGAGTGAGCATAGTCTCAATCCTGGCATTATTTCTCGCTCTCTTAGAACGATTCCCCACGTCCCCAATTAGTCTATCAGCGGCTTTGGCATCACCTTCCAACTGCGTTTCTGGTACGACGACTCGACAGGAATCACGGCTTATCGTAGACAAGCTTTCGCTCGCCACAGCTCGGTGAAGCCCGAAAGTCGGACTGCTCTTCTCATAGATAGCTTAAGTTTAGCCGCTGAGGCTCCAACTATATCGTTGTTCTTGAAGCATCAACGTTTGCAGTCGATTTCCGGCTGTACAACTACGAAGAAAGACATCCCGAGAACCACATCAAACGATTCCGAAATGTCGAACACGACGGCGACGCACGGGTAGCTTGGGGCTTGTTGAAGCCTGATATCGATCTTCGTTTACTCCAGCGTGGGCTCATCAATCCTGTTATCCCCCCAGTTTCACTCTGGCTGTACGATTGTATACACTCGAGTCTCCAGATTTTTCCGTCGGACAAATTCACGTGATACATATGTGGCTGTGGCTCCACAGTCGAGCAGGAACTTTTTTTTCAGGCGCTGCCCCCCTGATGAATATCACCGTCTACTGCAAACGATGGTGCGCGATCGTAAACGAGAGGGTCTTCGCTAAGCAGATTCAACGTAGTTTCGTTAACAATTAAACATTTCTTGCTGGGGCTCGCCACGTCAGGTGCCTTCTGTACTGGCGCTCATTTCGCGGTCGCTCTTCGATTTGTTGCAGTCACGTTTAGAATGACCGGGCTTCTTGCAAAGATAGCAGACTGGACATTCATTGGTCTGCTCCGACGGCGCGAAGTGACTAGGTTTGTATGACCGCTTACGGGATGACTTCTTATCACGGTGTGATAACGCGTTTAAAGGTCCACGAAAAATGTTGGCCACGTTCCGTCTTTTCTCGAGCTGGCTAACGGTCACCGCCGAAGTCGGACATCTCATACTTAGCGGCTTGGTCCATCGCTTCACTCAGCGTTACGGGGTTCTGCAGCTTGACGTAGGCTTGGGCCGCGCGGGTGAGACCATCGCAGTAATATCTGACTTGGTCAACCTCGCTCATGTTCTCGACACGGAAATCTGTGATGAGTACTTCGCGTTGTAGTCCTCAATATCACTGATCTGGCGGAGCTTCTGTCGCAGCACCGTTTGGTGGGTCGAAGCTGCAAAATTCGCGAGGGCGTCGTGAATGAATTGACCCCACGTCTGGCCCTCCGCAGGCGTTCTCGAAGCCCAGTATAGGAACCACCCCGATGCGGGCTATTCCATTGTCGTGCCGGCGATTGCGGGTAGCTTGTTGTTGGTGTCTGCGGCGTCATGGTCGTGAATGCGACACAATGTTTCTACTTGGAAGACTCACTGACGGACGTCTTTGCCACGCTTGCCCTTGAACTTGGGCAGCCCATTCGGGACCCTAGGTTTGTGCTCTTTCGGCTCTGACTGGGGCCCTAGGCATTTGCTTGAAGCACGCCAATCTTAGCTTGCAGCTGAACAAGCTGTAGAGCCAGCTCGGTCTGGGTTCTCCCTTGTTCGGTCGCCGTGTCCTGGGAGGTGTGGGGCGTTGCAGGGGGCATAGTCGCTAGGTCTGACCAACAAGTGCTACCAGTATATCAGACTGGTAGCCTAGAGAGATAGAGAGGAGGAACTCGAGGTCTGGCTTTGGGAGCAGGAGGAGCAAGCAAAAGTGGTCTCTCCCAACCCAGCGCCTAGCAGCCACCACACAGTGCCGCTGCCCCTGTATTGTATATATATCCTGTCAAATCATATCAGGGCTGCGCAGGCTTTCACCTGTATTTCCTATATTTATACAGTTTTGCTATTGATTAAACAAAAATGCTGGAGCTTCAGTGCGGAAAACTCTTATATTTCTTGTGTTTACTATTGTGCATTGCAGTTATTTTGTCAGCGTTCTTAAGCGCTAAAAATGGCAGCGTCATACGTACATGTATGCGAAAAAAGTTGCTCCCTAATATTTAGCTTAATGTTTGTCGAAATCACCTGCATACACTTTACGGCCACGATGCCTTTTGTTTGCGAAGCGAACTGCAGCATACGTGCCAGAATTGCAGTTTCAGAAGTGCAATTATGGTCGCTTTACTGAAAACTATTCGCTCTTATTTTAAAATAATCTTAATTTTGATGCATTAGGATAAAAAAAAGAGCGCGCCCTATTTATAAGACTTTCCAGATTCTAGCTACAGATTCATGGTGGTACATTCGGTACAGGCAAAAAATGCGCTCAAGCAGCAGCCCATCGAGCGCTATGGCACGGCCTCTTTCGTAAGTTACTCGCATGATACTATCATTTCGGCGTAAATATGTGTTTCTGACGCTTTGAGCGTGTTTCATACAGCTCCAACTCGACGTCAATGACGTCCAAGGAATACCTTTTTGGCTATATAAAGCAACATTTTGACCAGGAGACTGAGAACTGCCGCGAGAGAGACCGCAATCCAGCACCTGATGTCCAGGTCAATCCTGGCGATGCTATTCAACTGCAGGACCAGCTACGCCGCCTGAAACGTCGATGTGCTAAGCTGGAGCGGAAGCTGGAAGAGAAGGAGGCGGATAAAGAGCAACAGCAATTGGATTTTCCTCTTCTAATGCACGAGACGATGCGCAGTCTTCGTTCACTGGAGAATAATCAGTCCGATCGAGCAGCAAGCGCGTCGGTAGGTGGCGCTTGATGTTGCCTTCATGATCCGCATTAACAGGGTATTGTAGCCTCTGTCCCACTCTGTGATCAGTAGCATGGCCCACGAGAAAATAGATGTGGATGCTCGTATCCACGAGTACGAGCAACAGGTGCGTCAATTCATTATCTATGGAGAGAAGGTGATGTGGCTGACTGTTGCGTTTACAGATTGCGGAGTTGTACGAGGAGAACCAGCAGGAAAAACTCAACAACGAAATGCTTAACGAGTGCCTTCGTGAACAAAAGCATGCCAAGGCGAAGCTGATGAAAGCGTGCAAACACGTCAAGCAGGAACTTCAAGCTGTGAAAGATAGCGGACTTAGTCAAATGTTGGTGGATATGGAGGCACGTTGTGACGCCTTGGAAAAGGAGAAAGCTCGGATAACGGAAGCCCTATTAGCTGAGCGCTCTTTGGTAAGCGAACCGAAGTTGTAGTTACTCTCTCATGCTGGTTCTGCTAATAGCTAACGTGGCCTTTTTTACAGCGTGCGGGGCAAGAATTACAACAACAAACTACTGCCAAGCAACTTGAGGAGTTAATATTGGAATCAACCAAATGGGAAGGTAGGCAGGCGGCTTTGTATTGACTATCCTGTTGAATTTCTCAAAACGCATGCGGAACTTTCGAAAGGTATCATCAGTAGGAAAAACGACAAGCTACAACGGTCACGAGATCAAATATGTGAGCAGCAGCTAACTATTGAGAACCTAAAAGCTGACTTGAAAAGCGTGGAGCAAAGGTTTAACCGTCCTCGCGAACGATATCGACAAGAAGAGGTGCGTGTTCTCAGAACTTAATTCTTACGAGATGGTGATCGTTGTAATAACGTTCACGAAAATTTGGAAACCAGGCTGAGCAGCTGATAGCGACCATCAGCGTACAAAGAACAAAACATGAAGAAGCTCAACGAGAACTGCAACGACTTCAAACGGAGAACGACTTTTTGCGCGAGCAGCTAGCTTTCCGACACGAAGGGCGAGTGCATGGAGTGGAGAATTCCTCGTGTGGTGCTCAAGAGACATACGAAAACCTGCTTATCCAGGTACGAGTTTGCAACTAAGTATTGATGTCTTGTCATTGAGTAGTGCTTCACTTTCTCTTCGCACCCCTTATTCAACAGGTTCGTTTTATTAAAAAGAGGCTGCGCGCATTAAAGGAGCTGGTGCAGGTCTACGAAGAAACAAGTATCGTCGACATCAACTTGCTTGACGAAGATGATCCGTTTCACAAGGTTCTACCCGGGGACGACACTCTCGTTGCTCACTCTTGTGGAGAATTCGCGATGCAGCTTTCCGGGAGTGTTTTGGAAGCAACTCGGTATGTGTCCGAGCTACAGCAGGTCGTTGAAGACGCTTCGGCGCATCTAATGGGTAGTACTTGCGCGTTGCAATAATTGTGTTATTGTGAAGTATGGTTTTGTCGTGAACAGCACTGTGCATGTGCATGTATTAATAGTAGTCAGTCCACGCGTTCATTATTTTCCTAAAACCTAACCAGCCTTGTTTTGTACTATTAATACAATCCGTCACATTCACCATGCGTCCCATTTGGATTACGGTATCTATCATGTACACTCATAGACCTCCTATACAGCATTTATCGCTAAGTACCCAAAGCTGAAATTGGATAATAAAATATCACTATCTACAAACATAACTCTGTCTAATGTCATTTAGCTAATCCAGTTTCGATCGCGCCCCCTCAAAAATCTTGCATCACTTCAAAAAGAGACTCGACATGAACCAGTTTACTCTCGTTGCCGTGACCGCGGTACTGGTGGCCCTCTACCACAACTACTTCGCACCACAACCCGCAGTATGGGTGGCGCCCTCGCAGCTTAAGCTCACGTACTTTGCTGGGCCCGGCCGCGCTGAGCTGTCGCGCCTAATCTTGTCAGCCGGCAACGTAGCATTCGAGGACCAGCGCTTGGACCGAGACGCTTTCTTGGCCATTAAGCCCACTCTGCCGCTCGGCCAGGTACCAGTACTCGAGGTAGACGGTACCACCTATAGCCAGAGTATGGCCATCGCCCGCTACGCTGCCAAACTCACGGGTCTGTACCCGCAGGACCCACTCGAGTGTCTGCGCGTGGACATGGTGTCCGAGTCGCTCGTTGATGTAAAGACGCTTATCTCGGAGATTGCATACCGTACTCCGGACGAAGCTGCTAAGACTGAGAAGACAAAGAAACTGCTGGAGGAAAGCGTGCCTAAGACATATAAGCTGCTCGAGGAATTCATCCAGAAGGGACCCTTCTTCCTGGGCGACAAGATGACGTACGGAGATCTGCAGCTCTACGACCTGACTAAGAATGGACTCGGTAACTTTGCGGGGTTTTCGCTGAGCAAGTATCCTAAGCTCACAACGCTCGTGAGTAAGGTGGAGTCTAATCCCAACGTGGCGGCTTATCTCGTGAAACATCAACAGTAGACAAGAACAGGGGTAGGATGTGTATCCATATTTCTTGCCGTACTCTGGCTGAAAAGGTATTACGGGTAGTATTACTTGAAGTTCCGGTAATAAATACCTTTTATGATTGATAGCTGCAATTCTTAACTCTCGCACCAATGATTTACTGTACGGTAAAAGATTACTGATCACGTACGTCATCGAGGTTACCGTAGAAAACCAAAATATGTACCGTAACCGATAGTCTAAAGTTTGTTTTAGACTATACCCGTTACGCAATCGTGACTCGATGATGAGTGACATCATCACCGGACTGCGGCACACACAGAGTTCATTTGCAAATTCGCTCTACCCCACTCAACCCGACCACGATGACCCAGCCTCAGCTTAAGCTCACCTACTTCGACGGCAAGGGCCGCGCCGAGCTCCCACGCTTGATCTTCAACTATGCTGGCATCGCCTTCACAGACGACCGTATCACGCACTCTGACTTCGCGGCGCTCAAGCCGACACTGCCGTTCGGCCAAGTGCCCGTCCTAGAGCTGGACGGCACGGTTTACGCCCAGAGCGGGGCTATCGCTCGCTACGCTGCCAAGATCGCTGGCTTGTATCCGAGTGATGCGACCGAGGCTCTGAAGGTTGACGTGTTCTCGTGCTCGCTGGAAGACCTCGATGGCCCCATCGTGGATTTCATGTTTAAGACGTCGGATGAAACCGAGAAGGCCCAGAAGAAAAAAGTGTTTGTCGAAGAGATGGTGCCCAAATATTTTGTTGCGCTCGAGAAGATGGTGGCTGGTAAGTTCATCCTTGGCGACAAGCTGTCGTTCGCCGATTTGCAATTCCTCGACTTCGTTGACAACAAACTTAAGTGGGCGTTCCCTGACTTCAAGGTGGACGGCTTCCCCAAGCTCACGGCGCTGCTGAGCAATGTCAAGGCGGAGCCCAAGATTGCCACCTACCTGTCGAAGCAGTAAGTTTCACCCCATACTTTCCGAGCGTAGTGAATTAATGCAGACCCGGTAACTCTAAACATGATAAAAGTCCTTTCCGCTGCATTGATGAATACATGTACTTGAAATCAGCTTTATTGGCCCCGCCTTCCGATATTTAATAGTAATATCTATTTAGTAGCTTGTAGTACCCAACAAATCTTATCCTTCGAAGTTAATAGTTTTCGCTAGATACGCTTCGATACACGTGCTAGGAGCTTACGGACACAAACACTTGCATTCAACACACAGGCAAGACTCGCTATGTTTCAGGCCAACGAGGCTGCATGTAGTGCAATGATTGCAATAGGTTCTTGCCGGTGGTGGAGTGGCACTGCCACTGGCAGTACTGAAAGCTGAAGCATCCTTTCTCGGTACATATTGATCCTAACCTTTCAGGATCACGTGTCCTACGAGACCACGCATGCGTCGTACCTCACAATGATGTACACCATGTACACTGTGTACCACACGTGCATCTTGAAAAGGGTCTCAATGGACCATTATTAACTCAAGCCACTGCCAGCATTCAATCCAATGCGTTTCCAGTTCCAGCCAGAACTAAGGACTTATAAATTAAGTCATCCCAATCCTTTTTCATATGATTTGCAGTACTACAAGCTGTAGTACTACAGGCTGTAGTACTCTGCAAATCATATGAAAAAGGATTGGGATGGCTTAATTTTTAAGTCCTGTAGTACATACAGCCCGCAATGCTCTATCCAACAAGACCCAGACTAAAAAAAAAATTTGACGCGGGCTCATCTTGACGAAGTGACCAACAATTACCGACGATCCCCATAACTGCTGTGGATACACAACAGATATGATGCTGTTCTACTCAATGTCACTATTAATAGTACTGTATATTGCTCAAACGGGCGTGCTCATTATTTTCCTAAAACCTAACCAGTAAAGGTTTGTACTATTGATACAACAATTCATCAACTGTCACATGGGACGTGTTCTACATGCGTCCCATGCAAGCTTGTTTGGATTACGGTATCTACCATGTACACTCGTAGACCTCCAATGCAGCATTTATCGCTAAGTACCCAAAATTAATATTGGAAATTATAAATTGCTATCTACAAACATAACTCTGTCTAATATCATTTAGTTAATTCAGTTTCGATCACACACACCCCACCCCGCAAAAATCTTGCATCGCTTCAAAAAGAGACTCGACATGAGCCAGCTCACTCTCGTTGCCGTGACCGCGGTACTAGTGGCCATCTACCACAACTTGTTGGACATTGATGTAAGAGCCAGCCAACGGGCAGGCGACCGGAAGCCAGACCTCCAAGGACCTTTACGCAAGTGTCGAGTCGACAATGTTAAGGCACGACATTTTGACTTGGTTTTAATATTGGAACCAATCAGATCAAGCGTAGGCGCGTGTCTTTTCAGGTTATTGTGTAGTGTGCATGTAGAATCCAACTAAAAACTCTTTTGAATATATTTCTCACTTTCACTTCTACCTTCTGCCGAGCAAGTGCCCAAACAACAGGTTTTGAGCCCAATTGTCAACAATTCAGATGCAGACGCTGCTACGAAGGCAGTCTTCGCCTCCCCGTCGACCACGAAAGGGGCAAAGAACATCACGAAGAGAAGGTCGCGCTGGACGCTGGAGCGCTCGCGGCTCTGATCACCGAGCTCACGGCCAAAGTGGACAGCTTAGAGCTGTCGCTGGAGACGCACCAGCAGCGTGCGGCCGTTACACCACCCGGTCGGGGGGCTGGGTTAGACCAGAGCATGTACCGTCAAGCACTGCAACACGGAGGCAGCTTGGGCATGCAGCGCATGCAGCTGCACGAGCTCGGTGCGTCGAACTTCGGCATGGGTGCGCAGCCGCCTGGGGGTGTATGGTGGTCTTGGTGCTGGGCGACAAGCAGGAGGTACACCGTATCAGGCCCAAGAAGCAGCTCAGCAGGCGCCACAGCAACAACCGGCTGCGCAGTACCAAGCACATCGGCCTTCGTTGCTGCACCTCAACAAGAGAGTGCCGCCTGCCAAGGATGCGAAGATCTTCATGCGAAACTTCGAAGGCAGCGAGGTCTACAAGGGACTTGGGAGCGGCTTCGAGCAGTGGGCGCTGCTGTTCATTGAACAGATCGAGATGGCGGAGCAGGCGTGTGGCTAGGCCTGGCCTGAACGCTACAAGGTGAACAAGTTCGATCAGCATCTACGTGGTAAAGCGGAGCCCTTCTTCCAGCAGCCTATCATGCGCTGGTGGGCCGCGCAGCCGACGATCTGGTTTGTGATGAAGCCGATGCACTTGTCGCTCAAGCGGGCGCTCTAGACGCAACAAAGAATGAAGTTTTTTGGCGCGAAGAAGGACCCGTCGCGATCGTGGAGTGAGCACTTCTTGTTCTTAAATGCCCTCATGATAGCAACGAACGCGTCACCAACGCTAGTGCTGGAGAACATCGTCAAGTACGCGGACCCGGACTTGAGGCACGCCTTGATGGCCAAGTGTGAAATTACGCGGCCGGATCTTTTCCAGCAAGCGAACGAACTGGCCGTTTAACCGATGAAGATCGAGCGTCAAATCAGCTTGGTAAGGAAGTCGTGAACGCAGTGGTCGAGTCCCAAGAGGAAACGCGGCGATACCACAAGTGCAAGTGGGTTGGACACCTGAAGAAGAACTACTCGGATCGTTCTGCAGGAAGCAGCAAGGGCCAGCCAGTAAAGTTCGCACTTGCCGCCGGTAACGACGTCAAGTCCGTGAGCGCTACGAGCTGGATTCTGGAGAGCGGTGCCAGCCGACATCTTGTCAATGATCCTGCGCTACTGGCTAACGTAGTGTAGTGCTCTAGTGATGTTACCGATGGGACAGCGATGAACGTAGCCAAGAAAGGATCGGTGATTCTGCGAGCTATTGTCGACGGAGTCGCGGCTGATGTGAAGCTCGGTGAGGTCTACTACGCACCGAAACTCGCGCAGAATCTGGTATCATACGGACGGCTGATAGCGAAGGGATGCTCTCTCACCTAGCGCAACGGAAAGTTGGCGTTGATGAAAAGCAACGACGTGGTATTCCATGTTAATGTGAAGCACAACGGACTTGACTCGGTAGCTACGAGCAGCGCGAATATGGAGCAGCTGATCATAAACGTAGTGGACACAAGTACGGACACAGCCTCGCCGGTCGTCGCCACGGACACCTTAATGGGCTTCCATGCACGTTTCGGTCACTTGGCATTGGACACCATTGAGCGTATGGCAAATGACCCCGCATCCGGCATCAAGATATTGAATCGTGACCGGAAGCCCTGCATGGTTTGTGCTCAGGGTAAACAGACTCAAGCGAATCAACCGAGTAAGGACACCGGGGAACACGCACCGATCGACAAAGTCGGAGGGGTCATCTGCAGTGATCTGAAGGGTCCCATGACGCCACTTGACCACCAAGGTAGCCGCTATATGGTTAACTTCATGGATCTCAAGTTGAACTACTGCAAGGTGTTCATGGTAAAGAAGAAGAACCTAGCTGCATAGAAGTTAGAGGCCTTTCTTGTCGAGTTCGAAAAACGGCTCCACGTTCGTGTGCATGTTCTCCGCACGGACGGTGGAGGAGAGTACCGATACGTGCTACGCTTCTGCAAAGAAAACGGAGTGGCTCGTCAGGTGTCAGAAGTCGGGTATCAAGCTGCAAACGGCAAGGCGGAGCGGATGCATCGCACGGTTCTTAACATGGCTCGGTGCATGGTTTTCAATGCAGGATTGCCGCTGAGCTTCTGGGGTGACGTGGTTGAGTACGCGACGTACGTGCTGAATCGAAGCTTGTCACGCGCTAACGAGGGTCGGAAGTCGCCTCTAGAAGTGCTGACTGGCGAAGCACTAAACCTTCGCGACATAGTCATGTGTAGATCAAAGTGCTCCGTTTTTTTTTACGCTGGAAAGCGCGCCATGAAGAAGAGGGCGTGTGAGGGCGTCGTCGTCGGCATGGACGAATCGACCAAATGGTACAGGGTGTACCTGCCTTCGGAGAACAAGGTGAGTCATGTAGGCATGTGCAGACAATCCGCGCGTTGGAGGAGAAATCCGATGTGAAGACACCGACTGCTCAAGCTCCTAGGACGACAACGCCACCGGCATCACGTTCCACACCACGAAGACCTTGTCGCTGACGCTGCAAGTCGCGCCGCCGTGCTGAAGCTGATGGAGATGTGGAGGTTGACGAGTCGAGGCTGAGCACTGAACCTGTGGCTTTGACCGTATCCGAAGTTGAGGATGTCAATTCTCACGCGGATGGCCCGGAACCGGAGAAATACAGGCAGGCGCGGAAGTGCGCCGAGGCAGAGCTTTGGGAGGCAGCTGAAAAGGAATAACTTGAACCTCTTCAGGCGAATAGCACGTGTAAGCTGGTCAAGTTCGAGCCTGGTAGCATTCGCTTGCATACTAAGTGGGTGCACGAGAAGAAACGAGCAGGCACGGGTTTAATACTAGTCGCCTGTGGCAACGAGCAAAAGTTCGGCGCTAAGTTCTTTCTCGTGTTTGCGGCTGTAATTACCATGACTGGTGTCAAGGTCTTCTTCGGCATTGCGATCATATGGAAGGTGTCTGCTAGACACGCCGACATTCCTAACGCGTATGCAAAGACGAAAACGGAGGAGGTATCGAGATTTTGCTGTTCGTCCCCGACGGACTCGTTATGATGGAGGAAGAGCTGAAGACGCTCGGAGCTGAGAGCGTGGATGAAGTTGGTCTACTTCTTGGTCAGAGCCTTTACGGTTTGAAACAAGCAGGACGCCTTTGGCATGAGCACCTTCATCGCGAACTGGTCAAGCTTGGGTTCATCCAGTGCATTACGGACGCGTGCCTGTACTTCAAGGCTGACAGCGGCGGAATTACGGTCGTCGGAACGTACGTGGATGACCTGCTGGCTACTGGCACGGACGAGAACAGGGTTTCCCAGTTCTTGGCTGACATGTCTGTCCTGGAGCTCAAAAGATCTCGGTGTTGCCAGCAATTTTTTTCGGATGCGCGTGCAGTACGACGAGCTCAGTGGCTACAGGGTTGACCAAGAGGCTGCAATCGTCGAAATGCTCACCAAGTTTGGATTGGACAAAGCGAATTTGGTGCTATCTTCGATCGGAGGAGAAGGCGCGGCAGAGTCAGATTTGGCAGAACTACTTCCGCATGCGGCAAAGAAGATCGCGTCAGCAGGGCCGACGGTGACAAATTTCCAGTCACTGGTGGAGAATTTGCTGTGTATTGCGAGATGCACGCATCCTGACATTATGTCCGCTGTACACTGTGCAGCGCGACGGATTCATGCACCAACGATGGCGGATTGGAAGCTGGCTAAGCGCATCGCCAGGTACCGGAGTGGCACCCGATCGCACAAGATGGATATGTCTGGCGACGACAATGCAAAAAGGCTACCACTACGATTGCGCTCGTATACGGACGCCGACTTTTAGCTGACAAGAGCAACCGCAAGTCTGTGAGCGCGGCAATCATCCAAGTAAACGGAATGACGGTGTCGTGGCAGTACAAGATGCAGAATTTCGTGGCACTATCGACGACTGAGGTGGAGTACGTCGCTGCGACAGTGGGCGCTCACGAGCTACTCGGGCTGAAGGAGCTACTGGGTGAGCTGGATATCGCCACCTGGTTGCCTATGGCATGCTGACGGACAACCAAGCGGCTATCGTGCAAGTGCAGAATGAAACAAGCTCGGCCAAGGCGAATCACGTGGACGTCAGGCCAAGTTCAATTAAGACTGCTCCAAGAAGGGCGTCATGGTGCCAGAGTATGTGGCTAGCGCGGAAATGCTTTCCAACCTGCTGGGAAAGGCGCTACCGGCGCCACGGGTGAAGGAGCTACGGGAGAAGATCGGACTCGTCGACATCGAGTGATTCAGGAACCCCGGGCCTCTGGGGAGGAGTGTTGGACATTGATGTAAGAGCCCGCCAACGGGCAGGCGACCGGAAGCCAGACCTCCAAGGACCTTTACGCAAGTGTCGAGTCGACAATGTTGAAGGTACGACATTTTGACTAGGTTTCACTATTGGGACCAATCAGATCGAGTGTAGGCGCGTGTCGTTTCAGGTTATTGTGTAGTGTGCATGTAGAATCCAACTAAAAACTCTTTTGAATATATTTCTCACTTTCACTTCTACCTTCTGCCGAGCAAGTGCCCGAACAACACAGCTATTTCGCACCGCAACCCACAGTCTGGGTGGCGCCCTCGCAGCTTAAGCTCACGTACTTTACTGGGCCCGGCCGTGCTGAGCTGTCGCGCATAATCTTGTCAGCCGGCAGCGTAGCATTCGAGGATGAGCGCTTGGACCGAGACGCTTTTGTGGATAATAAGTCCACTTTGCCGCTCGGTCAGGTACCGGTACTCGAGGTGGAAGGCACCACCTATAGCCAGAGTATGACCATCGCCCGCTACGCTGTCAAACTTACGGGTCTGTACCCACAGGACCCGCTCGAGTGTCTGCGCGTGGACATGGTGTCCGAGTCGCTCGTTGATGTAAAGACGCTTATCTCGGAGATTGCATACCGTACTCCAGACGAAGCTGCTAAGACTGAGAAGACAAAGAAACAGCTGGAGGAAAGCGTGCATAAGACATTCAAAGTGCTGGATGGATTCATCCAAAAGGGACCCTTCTTTCTGGGCGACAATACGACGTACGGGGATCTGAAGTTCTACGACCTGACTAAGAATGGACTCGGTAAGTTTCCGGGGGGTTCACCGAGCAGGTATCCTAAGCTCACAATACTCGTGAGTAAGGTGGAGTCTGATCCCAACGTGGCGGCTTATCTCGCGAAACATCAACAGTAGATAAGAACAGAGGTAGGATGTGAATCCATATCTGTTGGAATGTTTTTTTCTTGCCAGGACCCCTGGATAAAAATGTATTATATTACTTGAAGTACCGGTCATATATATATATTATGATTGATACTATCAATTTAATAGCTGCAATTCTTAACTCTTGCACCAGCCGATTCCGGTGATTTACTGTGGTTACTGATCACGTACGTCATCGACGGTACCGTAGCACACCAAAATATGTACCATAACCAATTGTCTAAACTTTAGACAATCGGTTGTAAACTTTAAACGCGTTACGCAATCGTGACAACATCTCCGGACTACGGCTCACACAGCGTTCATTTGCGAATTCGCTCTACTCCACTCAACCGATCGCAAGCCGACCACGATGACCCAGCCTCAGCTTAAGCTCACCTACTTCGACGGCAAGGGCCGCGCCGAGCTTTCACGCTTGATCCTCAACTCTGCTGAAATCGCCTTCACGGACGACCGTATCACGCATTCTGACTTCGCGGCGCTCAAGCCGACACTGCCGCTCGGCCAAGTGCCCGTCCTAGAGCTGGACGGCATGGTTTACGGCCAGAGCATGGCTATCGCTCGCTACGCTGCCAAGATCGCTGGCTTGTATCCTAGTGATGCGACCGAGGCTCTGAAGGTTGACGTGTTCTCGTGCTCGCTGGAAGACCTCGATGGCCCCATCGTGGATTTCATGTTTAAGACGTCGGATGAAACCGAGAAGGCCCAGAAGAAAAAAAGTGTTTGTCGAAGAGATGGTGCCCAAATATTTTGTTGCGCTCGAGAAGATGGTGGCTGGTAAGTTCATCCTTGGCGACAAGCCGATTTGCAATTCCTCGACTTCGTTGACAACAAACTCAAGTGGGCGCTCCCTGACTTCAAGGTGGACGGCTTCCCCAAGCTCACGGCGCTGCTGAGCAATGTCAAGGCGGAGCCCAAGATTGCCACCTACCTGTCGAAGCAGTAAGTTTCACCCCATACTTTCCGAGCTTAGTGAATTTATGCAGACCCGGTAACTTTAAACATGATAAAAGAAAACATGTTACTGATCACTGGCCCCGCTTTATTTAATAGTAATAATAATTTATTATCTTGTAGTATTCAAGTACCGGTAATACTGCTAGTATAATAGTTTAGTTCACAAAATACGCTCTTGCCTGGCATTAGTGCATGTGCTTAAGAAACGGATGCGCCCTATTAGAGTCCGGACTATATCTAATAGTGCCACACAGAGCGGACTTTATTATATACGGGTGAGGATTTTTTTGGTCTGACTCTTTCTAAGCGTTAGTTTTTATGTAAGTGGGTCCTTGAAACTCTTATAGATTCCAATATCTCCAGCGTGCAAGTAAGGCGTGAGGCCACCAGGCACGACACACATCGAACACTTTTCGAAGAGCACTTAGCTTTTACAGCCTTCTATATGGGGGCTCTCATGCTGTACCGAACCAAGCATTTACGCTCACCGTGCATCACAAATGGAATAGCCACATCAATCCACTTCTTGAGCAGCTCGCTATCAACCCAAGCTCGGGGTTGGTGTGCCACGAAAAGTGGCCCTGACTTTTTTTTTTTCAAAAGACGGTGAGTATTTTCCTTTCGGCCTGTTGCCGGAAAATTGTTCCTCTCTGTTTAATGAATGGTCAGTAAGTTTGTAATACTGTAGTAGTTTCAAAAAAGACTCTATTCGGGAGAGGCTTGTATTTAATAGTGCAGACATGTAGCACCCCACAGAACACTATTCGGAAGGGGGCTTTTATTCGGGCGCTTCCGTTAGTTATAGCTGCAGGAACTTACCACTTGCATTTAACGCACAGACACGACTCGCTATGTTCCAGGTCAACGAGGTTGCATGTAGTGCAATTATTGCAATACATGTAGGTTCTTACCGGTGGTGGAGTGACACTGCCACTGGCAGTACTGTAAGCTGAAGCATCCTTTCTCGGTACATACTGATCCCACTCGCTTCACCACGCATACGTCGTACCTCACAATGCTGTACACCGTGTCCACCCTGTACCACGTGTATCGGTCCACAATGGGCCATTATTAGCTTCTAGCATTTAATATAAAGCGTTTCCAGCTCCAGCCAGAACAAGATAACATTAAAATTAAGCCATCCCAATCCTTTTTTTATATAGTTTGCAGAGTACTACAGCCCGCAATGCTCTATCCAACAAGTCCCAGACTAATTTTCTCTTGACGCGGGCGTGGTTTCAGGTGTGATCAGCTAACGTCTCAAAGGAGCCCTCCTCCTGGGCAGTTAGAACTGGTGATGTTGCTACCACCACAAGCGGTGGCATCGTTCACCTGGGGTCGACTTAGCCGAGGTGGGTAGCCCTCCGATCGACTTGTTTTATTAATGATTAAACAAGAAGTGTTTGTCTTGGAAAGATAGCACCTCGTAAATGGGGAGTTGATCATTCAACATTGATTATTACGTTATTAATCTACCGCGTTTCCAAAACAGTGTAAAGTGTCAACTCCTCATCTGCAAACCTTAGTAGCTGCTCGAGTTGAAATGGTCGGCCGTCATTACCCTGGCCCAGGCCGAAGAGAATACGTGCTTGAAGACGTTCTCCTCCGACGCAAACAGCTGCACTGCCTCCTTAAGCTCGGGAGCCGCCAACAACGCCAGATCCGTGTCCATCATGTACACGTCCTTGCCGTCCGCCTTGAACTCCTTCTCGGACACCTCCGTCCACGTCTCGTTCAGGAGAATCTGGAAGTACTCGTTCGATAGCGTGAGCGAGTTGTTGCTGTACGAGCCGCTGTAGCCCAGAATCTTCTGCTGCGCCACGCTGCGTGGACGGCCAGCCAAAGCGACCGCTTCGTACGGAGACACGCCGAGAATCTTGATGTTGTCACGCACGGCGATCAGGGTCGTGTTGTAGTACTGACGCGGAGCCAGAATTTCCGTGCCGTTGCCGTTCTCAGCGTCTGTACGGCCACCCACGAAGTCGATGGTCACGTTGCCTGCATCCTCCAGGGCCACCTGGCCCGCCAGCACGATCAGGTCGGCCGTCGACAGCGTCGGGTACGATTCCTTTACAGGCTCAAGCGCAGCGATGATCTGGTCCACACCTGCGTTCACCGGCCAGTCCTTTTCTGGCAAGAAGCGGATGCGAGCGCCGTTGCAGCCGCCGGCGTAGTCCGTGATACGGAACGTCGAAGCGCACTGCCACGCAGCATGCACGAACAGAGCACCGTTGTACGGCGTGCCGTCATTGCTCGAGTCGCTTGTCAGACCGTCCACGGACGTGGTCAGCAGCGAACGGATGTCCGAATGCACGGCACCGAAGTCCGGCAACGTAGCGGGTGTTGGCGGCAACGGGTTCTGGAATGGCTGAGCGGGCGGCACGTTGTTACCGCGACAGCGAGCCACTGGGCCCACATCGCGCGACATCAGTTTGTACCAGGCGTGCGAGAATTCCTCGTCCAAGGCGGTCTGGTTGGTAGCAAACTCGAGTGAGATGTTGTGATAGCTCGGGTCGTGCAGCAGGGCAATGTCGGCAGTCAGCATGCGCACGGGCGGCGTCGTATCAGGAACGGGACGCCATTGCACATGGCCACCGGGGCCGTCGAACTTCTCCCACTCAAGGCTAGTGAGACCCTTGAAGTAGCCGTTGCCCCACTTGGTAGGCGTGAATGTCCATGCGCCTTCGAAGCCGCTCGTGAACGTGTTGTTTCCCTTGCCCTTGAGCGTGCCCTCACCGCAGTTCCCGGCCAGGGGTTCAGAGGGTCTTGTGTCGGATCGGGCCCAGGGCCTGTCGGACAGGCGCCGTGCGTTTTGCCGAAGGCGTGCCCGCCGCCGATCAGCGCAACCGTCTCGCGGTCGTTCATGCCCATGCGCTCGAATGTATCGCGCACATCGGCCACCGATCCAACCGGGTCGGGGTTGCCCATGGGGCCCTCGGGGTTCACGTAGATAAGACCCATGGTAGTGGCCCCCAGAGGCTCCTTGCACTGGCCGTCCACGGCGCACGGAGCGACACTCTCCTGCTCGGGCGTCGGGCCCAGTTGTAGACTACTCGTACCGTCAGCGTCGTCGCGGCGACCGCCACAGAAACCCAGCACAGGGCCACCCATGCTCTCGATAGCGACGTCGCCTGACAGCACGATGAGATCACCCCACGACAACGCGTCGCCGTACTTGAGTTTGATGGGCTCCAACAAGTCGAGCGCCTTGTCCAGATTGGTGTTGTCGGCCCAACTGCGTTCCGGGTTGAAGCGGATGCGACCACCGTCGCAGCCACCGCGGCCGTCGGCGCGGCGGTATGATCCATTGCAGTGCCACGCCAAACGGATGAAAAGACCACCGTAGTGGCCGAAGTCGGCGGGCCAGAAGTCCTGCGAGTCTGTCATCAGATGCAGGAGATCCTCCTTCACGAGCTCGTAGTCGATGACATCGCAGTTTTGAGCGTCGTAAAGCTCGTTTGAAATCTGGCGGTCCACCTGGTGCACAGCGGCGACTGAGTCGTATCCGAACGGACAGCTACCAGCGCTGGCGTCACTGGGCAGACTTGCGAATGCGGCAACGAAGGAGGCGAGGCGAATGTTCATCTCGAATCGGATTGACTTGTGGCCTCCGAGGTGAAACGAAAAGTGATCGGTCCTACTTCTTTTCTTGGTTGCGTTGGCTACTGGTAAAATTATCGCTGTTTGATTGTTTTTGCGTAGGACATTGGCAGTTTAATCAAGAAGCTTGATTCAAGATTAAGTCTGTACTGGTTGCGTGCTGTAAAATCATTTTGGCACGTATTATACATGTAAGCTACAAGTACCGGTAGCTCTAAACGGGACGGACATGGACCCACGGAACATGGGGCGACACATTCGGTATTTACCGCACTGAATGGATATCGCTGACTACATGTACCGGCAAAACCGAAAAACGAGGTTTATTGAAAGCACGACTTTCGAGGTTTTATAGCTTCATCTATTATAGCTTCATCTGCCTACGTACGATTTAAATCGTAGCCTTTTATTGGGTGATATTTTGCGTATCTTGCAAATGATTCGCGAATAAAGGACTCTTGATTAGCCAATCACTTAAAAAAATTGATACAGAGGTGGAACTTAACTTCTTGGCTTCTTTACCTGGCAAGTTCGTTTTGTAGTTAATGCTCGCTCATCGAAAAGTCAATATAACATAGCCATTGTTCCCCCCAAAAAAACATCTTGGCTTCTTGGAAAAACCTCAAGAAGCGTGCTCTTCATTTGCTCCTGAAAGACTAATTCATTAATATCCTCATAAATATCAGATACGGAATGCATTCGAGATAAGCGCTGTCAGCCTACATGTATACTTATGTAAAGCAACTAGCCCGCGCACCACGTAAAACAAATCACAACTTGAAATTATGGCGATATGTAGGGTTTTGTGTTGTAGAATCCAGTGGAGTAAATGGCTCTACATAGTTACAGAATTTGATGTACCCAAAACGAAAAGGTATCAGGTGCACTTGCGACAGCGCATGTCTTAAACAAGTGGATTCCGTTGGTTTATGGATTCTCACATGGAGCTTAAGTCTTTACAGACCATTTGCTTGTATTCAATGACTTGAAGCAAACAACGCATCATTTGCGCCATTATTCTCTGTGATTTATTACGATTCGCAAGCTCAGTTTTATGTGTCTTTGTTTTTTAAAACAATATTTTGACCTTTACATTTTGAAGATTCTTAAAACTGCATGCTTTTTTATTTTTATAAATATTACTAAAAAGTATAGCGGTAGTTTATTGACGACGCGTTGGACACAGCTCATTTATTACGTCACTATTAATAGGCAATTCGTCAAGATAGCATTATCTGACAAAGGCGGATTGTAGATCCCTTCAACGTCGTTTCTTCTTGTGTTTGGTGCGCTCACTTCAACCATGTGTACATAATGTATAAAAAAAGAGCTGCCCGGTGAAAAAAGGTGCGCGATCGGAGCTGTTGCGCTCCTGACGTGGGGTTATCGTGGGTTGGGAGCAAATTGGGAGTCCCAACTTGGGACTCCCAATTTGCTTCATAGCTTGGTACGTGCCAGAGTGGTCGGTATTTCGGACGAAGTGCTTGCAAATTGCAATTACCCAAATATATACCGGTATCGCGTTTTTCTTTGTACGTTGCCGAATAAAAGCAAAGCAAAGCATACTACAGTACTACACCATTTTCCGGATTGTGTTTTGCTGTTTGTACAGATGTATTGCTGACGCCCGACCTTTCAGGCATTAGTTAAACAGTGCATGTCCATTCTGCATAGACATTCAAAATACTTGTACCGGTAGACCATTTTTTCACTGTACTTGCGGTAAGTCATACTTTTCGTTTCACCTCGGAGGCCACAAGTCAATCCGATTCGAGAAGAACGTTCGCCTCGCCTCCCTCGTTGCCGCATTCGCAAGTCTGCCCAGGGACGCCAGCGCTGGTAGCTGTCCGTTCGGATACGACTCAGTCGCCGCTGTGCACCAGGTGGACCGCCAGATTTCAAACGAGCTTTACGACGCTCAAAACTGCGATGTCGTCGACTACGAGCTCGTGAAGGAGGATCTCCTGCATCTGATGACAGACTCGCAGGACTTCTGGCCCGCCGAGTTCGGCCACTACGGTGGTCTTTTCATCTGTTTGGCGTGGCACTGCAATGGATCATACCGCCGCGCCGACGGCCGCGGTGGCTGCGACGGTGGTCGCATCCGCTTCAACCCGGAACGCAGTTGGGCCGACAACACCAATCTGGACAAGGCGCTCGACTTGTTGGAAGCCCATAAAAACCAAATTAGGGGGTCCCTTTTGTCCGGGGGGTGACTTCATCGTGCCGGTCAGCCGACGTTCCTTTCGAGAGCAAGGGTGGCCCTTGTGTGGGGTTTTTGTGGCGGTGGCCGCGTCGCCGCTGACGGTTCGAGTAGTCTACAACTGGGCCCCGACGCCCGAGCCAGGAGAGTGTCGCTCCCGTGCCCCGGTGACGGCCAGTGCAAGGACCCTTCTGGGGTCCACTACCATGGGTCTTATCTACGTGAACCCCGAGGGCCCCATGGGCAACCCCGACCCGGGTGGATCGGTGGCCGATGTGCGCGATACATTCGAGCGCATGGCCATGAACGACCGCGAGACGGTGGCGCTGATCGGCGGCGGCCACGCCTTCGGCAAAACGCACGGCGCCTGTCCGACAGGCCCTGGGCCCGATCCGACACAAGACCCTCTGAACCCCTGGCCCGGGAAACTGCGGTGAGGGCACGCTCAAGGGCAAGGGAAACAACACGTTCACGAGCGGCTTCGAAGGCGCATGGACATTCACGCCTACCAAGTGGGGCAACGGCTACTTCAAGGGTCTCACTAGCCTTGAGTGGGAGAAGTTCGACGGCCCCGGTGGCCATGTGCAATGGCGTCCCGTTCCTGATACGACGCCGCCCGTGCGCATGCTGACTGCCGACATTGCCCTGCTGCACGACCCGAGCTATCACAACATCTCACTCGAGTTTGCTACCAACCAGACCGCCTTGGACGAGGAATTCTCGCACGCCTGGTACAAACTGATGTCGCGCGATGTGGGCCCAGTGGCTCGCTGTCGCGGTAACAACGTGCCGCCCGCTCAGCCATTCCAGAACCCGTTGCCGCCAACACCCGCTACGTTGCCGGACTTCGGTGCCGTGCGTTCGGACATCCGTTCGCTGCTGACCACGTCCGTGGACGGTCTGACAAGCGACTCGAGCAATGACGGCACGCCGTACAACGGTGCTCTGTGCGTGCATGCTGCGTGGCAGTGCGCTTCGACGTTCCGTATCACGGACTACGCCGGCGGCTGCAACGGCGTTCGCATCCGCTTCTTGCCAGAAAAGGACTGGCCGGTGAGCGCAGGTGTGGACCAGATCATCGCTGCGCTTGAGCCTGTAAAGGAATCGTACCCGACGCTGTCGACGGCCGACCTGATCGTGCTGGCGGGCCAGGTGGCCCTGGAGGATGCAGGCAACGTGACCATCGACTTCGTGGGTGGCCGTACAGACGCTGAGAACGGCAACGGCACGGAAATTCTGGCTCCGCGTCAGTACTACAACACGACCCTGATCGCCGTGCGTGACAACATCAAGATTCTCGGCGTGTCTCCGTACGAAGCGGTCGCTTTGGCTGGCCGTCCACGCAGCGTGGCGCAGCAGAAGATTCTGGGCTACAGCGGCTCGTACAGCAACAACTCGCTCACGCTATCGAACGAGTACTTCCAGATTCTCCTGAACGAGACGTGGACGGAGGTGTCCGAGAAGGAGTTCAAGGCGGACGGCAAGGACGTGTACATGATGGACACGGATCTGGCGTTGTTGGCGGCTCCCGAGCTTAAGGAGGCAGTGCAGCTGTTTGCGTCGGAGGAGAACGTCTTCAAGCACGTATTCTCTTCGGCCTGGGCCAGGGTAATGACGGCCGACCATTTCAACTCGAGCAGCTACTAAGGTTTGCAGATGAGGAGTTGACACTTTACACTGTTTTGGAAACGCGGTAGATTAATAACGTAATAATCAATGTTGAATGATCAACTCCCCATTTACGAGGTGCTATCTTTCCAAGACAAACACTTCTTGTTTAATCATTAATAAAACAAGTCGATCGGAGGGCTACCCACCTCGGCTAAGTCGACCCCAGGTGAACGATGCCACCGCTTGTGGTGGTAGCAACATCACCAGTTCTAACTGCCCAGGAGGAGGGCTCCTTTGAGACGTTAGCTGATCACACCTGAAACCACGCCCGCGTCAAGAGAAAATTAGTCTGGGACTTGTTGGATAGAGCATTGCGGGCTGTAGTACTCTGCAAACTATATAAAAAAAGGATTGGGATGGCTTAATTTTAATGTTATCTTGTTCTGGCTGGAGCTGGAAACGCTTTATATTAAATGCTAGAAGCTAATAATGGCCCATTGTGGACCCTTTTGGCGATACACGTGGTACAGGGTGTACACGGTGTACAGCATTGTGAGGTACGACGTATGCGTGGTCTCGTAGGACGCGTAAGCCTGAAAGGTGAAGCGAGTGGGATCAGTATGTACCGAGAAAGGATGCTTCAGCTTACAGTACTGCCAGTGGCAGTGTCACTCCACCACCGGTAAGAACCTACATGTATTGCAATAACTGCACTACATGCAACCTCGTTGACCTGGAACATAGCGAGTCGTGTCTGTGCCTTAAATGCAAGTGGTAAGTTCCTGCACTTAGGCACGAAATGCGACCACTTAAGTACGATCTGGGCCAACTAACGGAAGCGCCCGAATAAAAGCCCCCTTCCGAATAGTGTTCTGTGGGGTGCTACATGTCTGCACTATAAAATACAAGATAGTCTTTTTTGAAACTACTACAGTATTACAAACTTACTGACCATTCATTAAACAGAGAGGAACAATTTTCCGGCAACAGGCCGAAAGGAAAATACTCACCGTCTTTTGAAAAAAAAAAGTCAGGGCCACTTTTCGTGGCACACCAACCCCGAGCTTGGGTTGATAGCGAGCTGCTCAAGGAGTGGATTGATGTGGCTATTCCATTTGTGATGCACGGTGAGCGTAAATGCTTGGTTCGGTACAGCATGAGAGCCCCCATATAGAAGGCTGTAAAAGCTAAGTGCTCTTCGAAAAGTGTTCGATGTGTGTCGTGCCTGGTGGCCTCACGCCTTACTTGCACGCTGGAGATATTGGAATCTCAAGAGTTTCAAGGACCCACTTACATAGAAATTAACGCTTAGAAAGAGTCAGACCAAAAAAATCCTCACCCGTATAAAGTCCGCTCTGTGTGGCACTATTAGATATAGTCCGGACTCTAATAGGGCGCATCCGTTTCTTAAGCACATGCACTAATGCCAGGCAAGAGCGTATTTTGTGAACTAAACTATTATACTAGCAGTATTACCGGTACTTGAATACTACAAGATAATAAATTATTATTACTATTAAATAAAGCGGGGCCAGTGATCAGTAACATGTTTTCATCAATTCGGCGTAAAGGCCTTTTATCATGTTTAAAGTTACCGGGTCTGCATAAATTCACTAAGCTCGGAAAGTATGGGGTGAATCTTACTGCTTCGACAGGTAGGTGGCAATCTTGGGCTCCGCCTTGACATTGCTCAGCAGCGCCGTGAGCTTGGGGAAGCCGTCCACCTTGAAGTCAGGGAACGCCCACTTAAGTTTGTTGTCAACGAAGTCGAGGAATTGCAAATCGGCGAGCGACAGCTTGTCGCCAAGGATGTGAACTTACCAGCCACCATCTTCTCGAGTGCGGCGAAATATTTGGGCACCATCTCTTCGACAAACACTTTTTTCTTCTGGGCCTTCTCGGTTTCATCCGACGTCTTCAGCATGAAATCCACGATGGGGCCCTCGAGGTCTTCCAGCGAGCACGAGAACACGTCAACCTTCAGAGCCTCGGTCGCATCACTAGGATACAAGCCAGCGATCTTGGCAGCGTAGCGAGCGATAGCCATGCTCTGGCCGTAAACCGTGCCGTCCAGCTCTAGGACGGGCACTTGGCCAAGCGGCAGTGTCGGCTTGAGAGCCGCGAAGTCAGAGTGCGTGATACGGTCGTCCGTGAAGGCGATTTCAGCATAGCTGAAGATCAAGCGTGAAAGCTCGGCGCGGCCCTTGCCGTCGAAGTAGGTGAGCTTAATCTGAGGCTGGGTCATCGTGGTCGGCTTGCGATCGGTTGAGTGGAGTAGAGCTAATTCGCAAATGAACGCTGTGTGAGCCGTAGTCCGGTGATGAAGGAATTGCTGTCACTCATTGTCGAGTCACGATTGCGCGATTGCGTAACGCGTTTAGAGTTTAAAACCGATTGTCATAACTTTAGACAATCGGTTATGGTACATATTTTGGTGTGCTACGGTACCGTCGATGACGTACGTGATCAGTAACCTTTTACTTAAGTACAGTAAATCACCGGAATCGGCTGGTGCAAGAGTTAAGAATTGCAGCTATTAAATTGATAGTATCAATCATAATATATATATATGACCGGTACTTCAAGTAATATAATACATTTTCATCCAGGGGTCCTGGCAAGAAAAAAAACATCCCAACAGATATGGATTCACATCCTACCTCTGTTCTTGTCTACTGTTGATGTTTCGCGAGATAAGCGGCCACGTTGGGATCAGACTCCACCTTACTCACGAGCGTTGTGAGCTTAGGATACTTGCTCGGTGAACCCCCCGGAAAGTTACCGAGTCCATTCTTAGTCAGGTCGTAGAGCTGCAGATCTCCGTACGTCATCTTGTCGCCCAGGAAGAAGGGTTTCTTCTGGATGAATCCATCCAGCACTTTGAATGTCTTATGCACGCTTTCCCTCAGCTGTTTCTTTGTCTTCTCAGTCTTAGCAGCTTCGTCTGGAGTACGGTATGCAATCTCCGAGATGAGCATTTTAACACCAACGAGCGACTCTGACACCATGTCCACGCGCAGGTGGTGCCTTCCACCTCGAGTACCGGTACCTGACCGAGCGGCAAAGTGGACTTATTATCCACAAAAGCGTCTTGGTCCAAGCGCTCATCCTCAAATTCTACGCTGCCGGCTGACAAGATTATGCGCGACAGCTCAGCACGGCCGGGCCCAGTAAAGTACGTGAGCTTAAGCTGCGAGGGCGCCACCCAGACTGTGGGTTGCGGTGCGAAATAGCTGTGTTGTTTGGGCACTTGCTCGGCAGAAGGTAGAAGGGAAAGTGGGAAATATATTCAAAAGAGGTTTTAGTTGGATTCTACATGCACACTACACAATAACCTGAAACGACACGCGCCTACACTCGATCTGATTGGTCCCAATAGTGAAACCTAGTCAAAATGTCGTACCTTCAACATTGTCGACTCGACACTTGCGTAAAGGTCCTTGGAGGTCTGGCTTCCGGTCGCCTTCCCGTTGGCGGGCTCTTACATCAATGTCCAACACTCCTCCCCAGAGGCCCGGGGTTCCTGAATCACTCGATGTCGACGAGTCCGATCTTCTCCCGTAGCTCCTTCACCCGTGGCGCCGGTAGCGCCTTTCCCAGCAGGTTGGAAAGCATTTCCGCGCTAGCCACATACTCTGGCACCATGACGCCCTTCTTGGCGCAGGCTTAATTGAACTTGAGCTTGAAGTCCACGTGCTTCGCCTTGGCCGAGCTTGTTTCACTCTGCACTTGCACGATAGCCGCTTGGTTGTCCATCAGCATGGCCATAGGCAACTTGGTGGCGATATCCAGCTCACCCAGTAGCTCCTTCAGCCCGAGTAGCTCCTGAGCACCCACTGTCGCAGCGACGTACTCCGCCTCGGTCGTCGACAGTGCCACGAAATTCTGCTTCTTGCACTGCCATGACACCATCATCCTGTTTACTTGGATGCTTTCCGCGCTCACAGACTTGCGGTCGCTCTTGTCGGCTGCAAAGTCGGCGTCCTATACGAGCGCAATCGTAGTGGTAGCCTTTTAGCATTTTCGTCGCCAGGCATATCCATCTTGTGCGATCGGGTGTCACTCCGGTACCTGGCGATGCGCTTAGCCAGCTTTCAATCCGCCATCGTTGGTGCATGAATCCGTCGCGCTGCACAGTGTACAGCGAACATAATGTCCGGACGCGTGTATCTCGCAATACACAGCAAACTCCCCACCAGTGACTGGAAATTTGTCACCATCGGCCCTGCTGACGCAATCTCCTTTGCCGCATGCGGAAGTAGTTCTGCCAAATCTGACTCTGCCGCGTATTTTCCTCCGATCGAAGATAGCACCGAATTTGCTTTGTCCAATCCAAACTTGGTGAGCATTTCGACGATTGCAGCCTCTTGGTCAACCCTGTAACCACTGAGCTCGTCGTTTTGCACGCGCATCCGAAGCAAATTGCTGGCAACACCGAGAGATTTGAGCTCCAGGACAGACATGTCAGCGAAGAACTGGGAAACCCTGTTCTCGTCCGTGCCAGTAACCAGTAGTTCATCCACGGACGCTCCGACGACTGTCATTCCGCCGCTGTCAGCCTTGAAGTACAAGCACGCGTCCGTAATGCACTGGATGAACCCAAGCTGGACCAGTTCACGATGAAGGTGCTCATACCAAAGGCGTCCTGCTTGTTTCAGACCGTAAAGGCTCAGACCAAGAAGTAGACCAACTTCATCCACGCTCTCAGCTCCGAGCGTCTTCAGCTCTTCTTCCGTCATAACGAGTCCGTCGGGGACGAGCAGCAAAATCGCGATACCTTCCTCCGTTTCGCCTTTGCATACGCGTTTGCAGTGTCGGCGTGTCTAGCAGACACCTTCCATGTGATCGCAATGACGAAGATGAACTTGACACCAGTCATGGTAATCACAGCCGCAAACACGAGAAAGAACTTAACGCCGAACTTTTGCTCGTTGCCACAGGCGACTAGTCGAGCCTTGTACCGCTCGACCAAACCCGTGCCTGTTCGTTTCTTCTTGTGCACCCACTTAGTATGCAAGCGAATGCTACCAGGCTCGAACTTGACCAGCTTACACGTGCTATTTGCCTGTAGAGGTTCAAGTTATTCCTTTCCAGCTGCCTCCCAAAGCTCTGCCTCGGCGCACTTCCGCGTCTGCCTGTAGTTCTCCGGTTCCGGACCATCAGCGTGAGAGCTGACATCCTAAACTTCGGATACGGTCAAAGCCACAGGTTCAGTGCTCAGCCTCGACTCGTCAACCTCGACATCTCCATCAGCTTCAGCACGGCGGCGCGACTTGCAGCGGCAGCGACAAGATCTTCGTGGTGTGAAACGTGGTGCCGGTGGCGTTGTCGTCGTGGGAGCTTGAGCAGTCGGTGTCTTCACATCGGATTTCTCCTCCAACGCGCGGATTGTCTGCACATGCCTACATGACTCACCTTGTTCTCCGAAGGCAGGTACACCCTGTACCATTTGGTCGATTCGTCCATGCCGACGACGACGCCCTCACATGCCCTCTTCTTCATGGCGCGCTTTCCAGCGTAAAAAAAGACGGAGCACTTTGATCTAAACATGACTATGTCGCGAAGGTTTAGTGCTTCGCCAGTCAGCACTTCGAGCGGCGACTTCCGATCCTCGTTAGCGCATGACATGCTTCGGTTCAGCACGTACGTCGCGTACTCAGCCGCATCACCCCAGAAGCTCAGCGGCAATCCTGCACCGAACGCCTTGCACCGAGCCATGTTAAGAACCGTGCGATGCATCTGCTCCGCCTTGCCGTTTGCATCTTGATACGCGACTTCTGACACCTGACACCTGACAAGCCACTCCGTTTTCTTTGCAGAAGAGAAGCACGTATCGGTACTCCCTCCACCGTCTGTGCGGAGAACATACACACGAACGTCGAGCCGTTTTTCGAACTCGACAAGAAAGCCCTCGAACTTCTTTGCAGCTAGGTTCTTCTTCTTTACCGTGAACACCTTGCAGTAGCTCAACTTGAGGTCCACGAAGCTAACCATATAGCGCTACCTTGAGTGTTGGACGCGATGCGAGCGAACAATCTCTACGCCAACATCGACAAGTGTGTCCTTGCGTCACCAGAGATCAAGGCTCTCGCTTGCTTCGTCAGCAACGTGGGCGATCGAGCTGACCCAGACAGTGCCAAGGCCATTGCAGCATGCCCAACGCCCTGATCTCAGAAGGATCTTCGAAAGTGGTTAGGCTTAGCCAACTACCTTCACAAGTACAGCGCAGGGTACGTGGGTCTTGCTAAGCCCTTGTCGGGCCTCCTTCAGAAGGACGCCCACTGACGCTGGGAGCAAGAGCACCAGGATGCCTTCGACAGTCTTAACCCCTTAGTTCTCATATGCTGGAAGATCCAACATAAGAGGTGTGTACCCTAATTCAATCTTGTTGCAGTGTCGTTGTTTATGTTGGAACGCTCAGCACTAGAGAAATTTTGACTTGAGGTTTGTACAGCACATCTGTCATTTATCCTCGTATACTAATTTTTTATTAATATTTGTGGGGAAAAAGGACAAATGTACAGGGTTAGGGTTGCTGGATCGGATCAGCATGATAGAAAAGGGTAAGGACTCACCCATCATTGATGTGTGGGCCACACAGTGTGGTCGACAGCCATCAAATTGACTCATTCTCGAAAAAGACGTTAGACTAAGAAGATGGTGGGTCCTGTCGGCAAGATCCCGCGGTACAAACGCACGACCAGGGAACGACAGCTGTGCCCCGCTGTCCAGAATCCAGCTCGTAGCGTCCACGGACTTGAAGTCGTTACCGGCGGTAAGTGCGAACTTTACTGGCTGGTCCTTGCTGCTTCCAGCAGAACGATCCGGGCAGCTCTTCTTCAGGTGTTCAACCCTCTTGCACTTGTGGCATCGCCGCGTTTCCTCTTGGGACTCAGCCACTGCGTTCACGACTTCCTTACCAAGATGCTTTGGCGCTCGATCTTCATCGGTTAAACGGCCAGTTCGTTCGCCTGCTGGAGAGGATCCGGCCGCGTAATTTCACACTTTGTCATCAAGGCGTGCCTCAAGTCCGGGTCCGCGTACTTGACGATGTTCTCCAGCACTAGCGTTGGTGACGCGTTCGTTGCTATCATGAGGGCATTTAAGAACAAGAAGTGCTCACTCCACGATCGCGACGGGTCCTTCTTCGCGCCAAAAAACTTCATTCTTTGTTGCGTCTAGAGCGCCCGCTTGAGCGACAAGTGCATCGGCTTCATCACAAACCAGATCGTCGGCTGCGCGGCCCACCAGCGCATGATAGGCTGCTGGAAGAAGGGCTCCGCTTTACCACGTAGATGCTGATCGAACTTGTTCACCTTGTAGCGTTCTGGCCAGGCGTAGCCACACGCCTGCTCCGCCATCTCGATCTGCTCAATGAACAGCAGCGCCCACTGCTCGAAGCCGCTCCCAAGTCCCTTGTAGACCTCGCTACCGTCGAAGTTTCGCATGAAGATCTTCGCATCCTTGGCAGGCGGCACTCTCTTGTTGAGGTGCAGCAACGAAGGCCGATGTGCTTGGTACTGCGCAGCCGGTTGCTGCTGTGGCGCCTGCTGAGCTGCTTCATTGGCCTGGAACGGTGTGCCTCCTGCTTGTTGCCCAGCACCAAGACCACCTTACACCCCCAGGCGTCTGCGCACCCATGCCGAAGTCCGACGCACCGTCGTGCAGCTGCATGCGCTGCATGCCCAAGCTGCCTCCGTGTTGCAGTGCTTGACGGTACACGCTCTGGTCTAACCCAGCCCCCCCCCCCGACCGGGTGGTGTAACGGCCGCACGCTGCTGGTGCGTCTCCAGCGACAGCTCTCAGCTGTCCACTTTGGCCGTGAGCTTGGTGATCAGAGCCGCGAGCGCTCCAGCGTCCGGCGCAACCTTCTCTTCGTGATGTTCTTTGCCCCTTTCGTGGTCGACGGGGAGGCGGGGACTGCCTTCGTAGCAGCGTCTGCATCCGAATTGTTGACAATTGGGCTCAAAACCTGTTGTTTGGGCACTTGCTCGGCAAAAGGTAGAAGTGAAAGTGGGAAATATATTCAAAAGAGTTTTTAGTTGGATTCTACATGCACACTACACAATAACCTGAAAAGACACGCGCCTACACTCGATCTGATTAGTCTTAATAGTAAACCAAGTCAAAATGTCGTACCTTCAACATTGTCGACTCGACACTTGCGTAAAGGTCCTTGGAGGTCTGGCTTCCGGTCGCCTTCCTGTTGGCTGGCTCTTACATCAATGTCCAACAAGTTGTGGTAGAGGGCCACAAGTACCGCGGTCACGGCAGCGATAGTGAACTGGTTCATGTCGAGTCTCTTTTTGAAGCGATGCAATATTTAGCGAGGTGGGGTTTGTGTGATCGAAACTGGCTAAATGATATTAGACAGAGTTATGTTTGTAGATAGTGATTTATAATTTCCAATATTAATTTTGGGTACTTAACGATAAATGCTGCATTGGAGGTCTACGAGTGTACATGGTAGATACCGTAATCCGAACAAGACGCATGTAGAGCACGTCCCATGTGACAGTTGATGAATTGTTGTATAAAATTACAAATCTTTACTGGTTAGGTTTTAGGAAAATAATGAGCACGCCCGTTCTGTAAGTTTTTGCAGGGAACCCGACAATATCATTTATACCTATTTCCTGGATCTGCGGCAATAAATAGCGTAGGGCAAAACTCTATGAACAAAAATAAATAATTGCAGCTTGAACATTACAGAAATACATTATCTGTGAATTAATCGTACATGCTCACCTCTTCCTCATAGTCGAGAGTCCTCATGCGTATAAGGATTCTCTATTACAATTAGTGTAGGAGTTAACAGAAGGCCACATTTACCCTCATGCCCGCCATTTCCTACCTTTATGCATACGCCGACTGTAGTAACGACCCAGTACTTAAGATTGTCTTTGAGAAACAAGATCGTCACAGGCGTGCAAAATAAATCATGTTCTACACACAAATCCGTAAGTACTGTTTGCCGCACCAGAAAATAAATTATCTACACACAAATCCGTAAGTACTGTTTGCCGCACCAGAAAAAAAATATTTACGATAAAAATAAAACATATTTTCTAAAAATATTATTTTCGGGTTTCCTGGCTATTACTACCTAAGCACATGTACTGTATTAATGCCATGCCTAGAGCGTATCTTGTGAAGTAAATTATTACTTCATGGTATAATATTTGCTGGGTACTACAAGCTAATAAATTATTATTAATACTAAATAACGGAAGGCGGGGCCAATAAAGCTGATTTCAAGTACATGTATTCATCAATGCAGCGGAAAGGCCGTTTAGAGTTTCCAGGTCTGCATAAATTCACTAAGCACGGAAAGTGTGGGGTGAATCTTACTGCTTCGACAGGTAGGTGGCAATCTTGGGCTCCGCCTTGGCATTGCTCAGCAGCGCCGTGAGCTTGGGGAAGCCGTCCAACTTGAAGTCAGGGAACGCCCACTTGAGTTTGTTGTCAACGAAGTCGAGGAATTGCAAATCGGCGTACGACAGCTTGTCGCCAAGGATGAACTTACCAGCCACCATCTTCTCGAGTGCGGCGAAATATTTGGGCACCATCTCTTCGACAAACACTTTTTGGCCTTCTCGGTTTCATCCGACGTCTTCAGCATGAAATCCACGATGGGGCCCTCGAGGTCTACCAGCGAGCACGAGAACACGTCAACCTTCAGAGCCTCGGCCGCATCACTCGGATACAAGCCAGCGATCTTGGCAGCGTAGCGGGCGATAGCCATGCTCTGGCCGTAAACCGTGCCGTTCAGCTCTAGGACGGGCACTTGGCCGAGCGGCAGTGTCGGCTTGAGCGCCGCGAAGTCAGAGTGCGTGATACGGTCGTCCGTGTAGGCGATTTCAGCATAGTTGAAGATCAAGCGTGGGAGCTCAGCGAGGCAAAGTAGGTGAGCTTAATCTGAGGCTGGGTCATCGTGGTCGGCTTGCGATCGGTTGAGTGGAGTAGAGCGAATTCACAAATGAACGCTGTGTGAGCCGAAGTCCGCTGATGATGTCACGATTGCGTAACGCGTTTAAAGCTTACAACCGACTGTCTAAACTTTAGACAATCGGTTACGGCTCATATTTTGGTCTGCTACAGTACCGTCGGTGACGCACGTGGTCAGTAATCCTGTACAGTAAATCACCGGGATCGAGAATTGAGAATTGCAGCTTCAAGTATAAAAGCTATATATTACCGGTGCTTCAAGTAATAAAATACCTTTTCATCCAGAGCACGACTCGTGCTGCACGAGCCTCGTGAAGAGGTCCCGGCAAGAAAAAATCATTCCAATAGATATGATATAATGGTAATTGTCGCTGCTTATTTTTTTTATTTCTCGCGAAGCTATTTTTTGACCAAGAACTGTATTATCGAATCACCGTTCAAATTCGGTAAAAATGTTTTATCGCTTTTAATCGGTTCTTAGACCAGGTGTCATTTTGAGCTTATACTGTACTTTGCCACATTACTCATTTTGAAGTTGCAAAGATTTTCTTTTGTTTCCGGTGTTGGGGGTGTACGTGACCAGTAATCTAAAAAAAAAACTGTAAATCCCGAGGAATCAGTTAATTCGAAGAATACTAGGAAGTATACTACTTCAAGAAAAATCTTTTCAGCAAGAGCCCTGGCAACACTCCAACAGACACAGATCCACATCCTATCTCTGTTCCTGTTTACTGCTAATGCTTGGCGAGATAAGCCGCCACGTTGGGATTAGACTCCACCTTGCTCACGAGCGTTGTGAGCTTAGGATACTTGCCCAACGAAAACCCCACAAAGTTATCGAGTCCATTCTTGGTCAGGTCGTAGAGCTGCAGATCCCCATACGTCATCTTGTCGCCCAGGAAAAAGGGTCCCTTCTGGACGAATCCCTCGAGCAACTTAAACGTCTTAGGCACGCTTTCCTCCAGCAGTATTTTGGTCTTCTGAACCTTGGCAGCTTCATCCGGCGTACGGTACGCAATCTCCGAGATAAGCGTCTCGACGTCGATGAGGGACTCGGACACCATATCCACGCGCAGACACTCGAGCGGGTCCTGTGGATACAGACCCGTGAGTTTGGCCGCGTAGCGGGCGATAGCCATACTCTGGCTATACGTGGTGCCGTCCACCTCGAGTACCGGTACCTGACCGAGCGGCAGAGTGGGTTTGGTAAAACCTGGTTGGGGTCATATACGGTACAGATCAGAGTTTGTACATATGTTGATTTCGCAATGATCTGATGCGAGATCTGAAAATTCACGGCCTTAAAGAGGCCACGTTAGGCGGGGATCCCAGCGAGGCACCTGTGAAGAAGAGCTCATTCGGTAACATGCAGGCACCTGCACAGTCTCTTCCGGGGAACACCGAACCTTCAGACGGCGCTGGGGTGACCAACGCTGTGTCAAGCCGTCCCAGAGGCCAAGTGCGCCAGGAGAAGACCACGTGCTATTTTCGCGGCTTCAAGTATACTTGGGCGTGGGCATCGTCGAGAAAGATATCATACCGTTGCTGCCATTGGCGCCAAGGCTGTCTTGGTACGATGGCATTCTTCATTGGTACAATGGGCTACACAGTTGGGCGCCCCCACACCTGTCGCCGCGTTGATGCTGCTGGCAGTAGCCTTGCTGATGTCACGGGAGCGATGAAGGACAGGGCAGACATGCTCGCTATCGACCAGGTTGCGCTTCCTGCGCGGCGTATTTGGGAAGCGCTGCGCAACGAATTTTACGGCGCAGACAATGAACACGTTGTGCGCGGGCTGTCGGAGGCCCAAGTGCTTCGACGTGTTTATCAGGCGCGCAGTAGGCATTTCAGTGGAGATGTACACGGAGCGATCGAAATCCCGCCTCTATCATTGGCGTTGGACGCAACGGTTTCGTTCTTTCAGTTTCATTACGTCACTATCAACCGCGAGAACCTTAACAAGCCTACTCGGCTGATCGGCTGGGCGCACCCAAACTTCGTCAACCTTCTCCGCTACAATGGAACTACGATTTTTATTGATGGTACATTCCGCTGTGTACCACCCGGCTACAAACAGTGTGTCATTTTCATGGTACATGATAGAGCTTCGGGGCTGTTTGTACCTGTTTACTACGTATTGAGCACCTCTCGTAGTGGTGATGCCTTTTGGGACATGATACATTTCGTGGTACAAGGTACCGACCAGCAACTGGAGCCCACCGAAGTCGTGTGCGACTTCGAGATTGCGCTGATTGATGCTGTGCAGACTCAATTTCCAAATGCAATTGTCCTAGGCTGCCTATTTCATCTCAAGCAGGCTCTGAGACGAGCTATGAAGCGGTTTCTGATTCCGGAGGAGGAGTGTTGTATTGCTATGACCCGCGGTGTCGTCGACATGCTTACCATTGTTGAGCACTGCTTAATGGAGCGTGCTTTCAAGTGGGTGAAGCGTGAAATCCGCCAGCGCTGTGGCGTGGTCGGGATTTCCTACTCTAAAGCGAAGTGGCGAGGATTCTGGGGATACTTTAATCGGACGTGGCTGGAAACGTACGACGTGAGCGTATGAAATGTTGCCGGCCTAAACAACGAGCTCATCGCACGGACAGATAACCCTTTAGAGAGGTTTAACAGGGAGCTCAACAGCCATTTCCCTAAGCCCCGCCCTAGTATGACGTCTTTCGTTAGTGTCATCAAGACACTATCAACGCAGTATGTTCAACGCCTTGCTGATGTTCCGCGCGGACGGGCACGCCGCTTACCACGCGAGCGCATACAGCTACCGGCGCCCGTTGAAATACCGGATGACATTGCTGATGATTCTGAGGACGAGGAACCTCCAGCAGTTGAGCTGGCATCCGACAGCTCTTCGGAAGCCGAAGATGGTCTAGGCGAGGTGAATGAGGAAGAGCAATAGTCAGTAGGTAGCTTCGTCGTAGTTATATCTAACCAGGAGATATTGATACACGCTGCTTAATCTTAATGAGCTACCTGATCACCATTAGAGTAAGAATATCTGATCCAATAACTGATCTGTACCGTATATGACCCCAACCGGAGGTAACCAGTGGGTTTGATGGCCAAGAAAGCGTCTTGATCTAGGCGAACGTCCTCGAATACTACGTCTCTGGCAGACAAGATCAGGCGCGACAGCTCAGCGCGGCCGGGCTCTGCAAAGTACGTGAGCTCGAGTTGCGAGGGTGCCGCCCATACTGTGGGCTGCGGTTCGAAATAATTGCGATAGAGGCTCACCAACACGGCGGTGGCGGCCACGAGGATGAACGGGTTCATTGTTGTTTTGGTTAGAGCTCAGAAAAGTTCTTGAGTGGCGTGCAGCGAATTCCCAAATGAGCTGCAACGAACGCAAAGACAATTCACGATTGCGTATTGTGAATGCCGACCAAATTTGCTGTTTGTGTTGAAGTAAGCATCTCCGATGTACGTAATCAGTAATCTACGGTACAGTACGACTCATTGCATTACCAAGTGCGTATGCAAAATACTTTTTCTTGAAAAACAATCTCAGAGTGTGGACCACGAGGAAGGCGTCTGGACCATTTCCATATAATTCTGTTTCGTCTAGTAATAGGTTAGTTCTATGGTCAAGCACAGCCAAACACTGCCGCAAAAAATATTAATGCAGTCATGCAAGCATCAGCAACCACAGCGATGAACAGGCGAGATACGGTATGGCTCAATAACGTCTGTAGCTTATTTGCTCACAATTGGTGTATTGATATAATTAATATCTACCTGATTTTTAACTAACCAAAAATTAAATGCTATTTGAAATGTATTGCAGAGATCCTGCTCGTGTTTTAGTTAAACCGGGTATATATCCTGGTACCGGTAGTGCTACGTGTAGTAGTACGTACAGCTCTATTCGAGATTATGTGTGCACCCCAATAGTACATGTAGGTATCGATTCGATACAAATTTCGAATGAGAAGGTCTTATTTTTCTGCCAAAGCGTATAAACGTCACAGGTTTCACTCCACAGTAATACTTTGTCATGAGTATAAACTTATAGAAACTTGGTGTACGAAGTAAAATTTAGGTTACCGTAATTCCTTTCTCAAAGGGCGCACTGATTACTAAATGACTATAGAGGAGGCAGTGATTTGAAATACAGGAACATAGGAGGTACAGGCATTAAAGTTCAATTTACCGGCACACCAAATTTATTCTACCATATACAGTACCTGTATCGACAGCATTAGACTCAGTAGCCCTACTGCATGTAGAGCAATATCTGAAGGCGTCAGGTAGTAATTTCTCTCGTACTTTAATAGTTACTTTATCTCCAGATATTCAAGTTCCGAATTGTACTAGTACTGTACGAAAACACATCCACGATGTTCACATTTTAAAGCACCACGTTTTTGGTGGTGCTGAAAAGGCAGCTACAGTACCTCCACTCACATGATGCAAGTCTCGTAGCTAGCCGGATGCTAGTAGCTGGCATCCAGTTTCATCTTGATTTCACTAAGGAAACCACTTTTTACATCAAGATTTGTGATTGTAGCTGTATCTGGTTGCTTTCAAACACCAAGTGAATGAATAATTTACCAACAACCCAGAATCTGAAGAGCCGGTAGATCAGCGTTTCTGCAAGTGTGCCCTTTGAGAAAGGATTATCCTAATCTCGGATTTCTGTGGTTTCATTGGCTAACACTCCTTTCTTGAGATTGGGTAGGTGTGCCCTTTGAGATAGGAATATCGGTACCTTACAAATGCTAGAAGGTGTTTTCTTAGAAAATTTACTTTTTAGTTTTTTTACGCGGCTACCGTCTTACTCCGCTTCAGACGTCTAGGTTTTCAAAAACAAAACAGCCCACTAGGCATTGTATTCGTATATAAAGCCTAGGCTTACAACTGCAGACATAAATTAAAAATCAGAAGAACAGCATCGATAGCATGTCGATTATCCTACACATGCATCCCATTCACCTTCAGCGTAAAGTAGAAGCCAATCTGTGCGAGGTACACCGTGTCCGTGGGTTAGTAACAGTGTCCGTGTACTCTGAGACGACTTTGCAGTCTTCATCCAGAGTCTTGTTTTCTATATTCCAGTGACGCATGTGTGCTGCAGCAAAAGCTCGAGCTCGCCTGGTAGCGTCTTTCCGCTGTTCAGCGAGGTGATATAGTCAATATCAAACCGACCGTCCAAATACTTTAAGTTGCTCATGTACTCAGTGAGCACCACAACGAACTCGTAAAGTTGCTCACCGCTACTGTAGCGCAGACAGCAGATAAAGCTGGTTCGCATATCCTCAGGGAGGTACCAGGTAGGTCGAGCAACACACAGATCTTCACGATTGTCATTCTCATCCACTATGTGCTGATAACGTAGATGCCACTCGTTCATGTCAACGGACGGGCTTAAGAGATCGCGGAGAGGCGGATGGAGATCTTTAGCGTCGAGCTCCATCTTTGGCACCAGGCTACATAGCGAAAACGCTATCGAAATCTCAGTGCGTTTGTTTGTAGCAATCCAGTCCAAACCCACTGGGGAACCTTGTCGTATCGCGGAACTTTGGGGTTCTCTGCTTTTGTTTAAAGTCGTTTTCCGTCCAAAGCCGAGCTAATGTCGTCGTCGTATTGATCCCTGTAGAAAGCCTGAATGCTTCTGTTAGCAGCAACATCGAGGGGCTGGAGGTGGTTGGTAAGGTTGGGTCGTACCAGTAAAACAAAAACATTGTATTGTCGAAGCTTCTTCTCGTCATAAACTTGACGTGGCACGCGTACAAGTTTATTATGAAGAGTACAAGCTTTTGATAAAACTGAGTTTCTTTTCTGGTACAGATTACGTTTTGGGCGTACTCAAGAAGTATGGTTTTACTCCACATCCCCATAGGGTTCACATCCCCAAGAATTTCCCTCTGGAACCGACGGTTTGCTCTTGAGTTTAGAGAAAGGTACATGTGGCTACTTCCTCCCTTCTACAACGGACCTTCTCTCACACCACGGGTTGTAATAGTCGACTTCGGCTCAGTCTCGGAATATCTTGGGACTTGGTCCATGTTGATGACGTTGCAAGGCTGTATATTGTGTTGTTCGATCAGTTGTTGTGCATTTTTGATAAAATCAAGACAAATTTGGCTGGCAATCTCTGAAAGCGTTCATGCGCTCGTCTGCCTCCTGGATACAAGGCTGTTACGATCTTTAAATCGGCCCAGCCAGCTTGATACTTGCGACGATCGTCTTACGTGGTCGAGGCCATCATGGCACGATGGATGTTGAGTGCATGAAGTTGTATGCACTTGTCTTTCACACGCAAGCCCTTACGGCTTCGTGTTACCACCCAGTCGTGAACCTGCTGCTCTAGTGCGTGGTGCTCTGATTTTCTGCATGCTCCTGGCATCCTCCGTCGTGAACGGGTAGCGAGTTGGCGGATCTTCGATGCGTTGACCAGCAAGTCCTTGCTGTCCGACCAGTTTCTGACCATGGACGGTATCACCTTGTGCTTCTTAGCAAGCGCCTGGAAGTCAGAGCCGTCAACACCGACCCTGTACTCACTAATTACACTTAGCTTGAACTGTATACTGTAGCTGGTTTGCTTCTTGGCTGTCATGGAAGATAGAAATTGAAAAAAATGACTAGCTGTTCAGGAGCGGTTTCAGCTCCAATTGCCAGTCAATTGGCTGGTGATGAAGCATTTAAACTGCTACTAATATGCAATGCAGTTGGTTAAGGCTCACCACCTACACCTTCTGGCTGGGAAGGCGTCCTATTTGACTGGGCATACTACACGAGGTTCGGCTAGCCTCATTATCAACTTTTAAATCCGATTTAAAAGCCGAAGCGGGGTAAGACGGTAGATGTTGTGCAAGAATATCACTATTATTAGTAGATCTTAATGACTATAAAGCGGTCAGTAAACAAAGCTATCGATGGCGCACGTAGTGCCACAACTTCATCATCCGTCTACCTCTAGCCCTTGTTTGGTAGAAGCTGTAGTGGTTTCAATGCCTTACTGCTGCCTCTTGACGCAGCATTGATACGCTGAGGATCCTGGGCATGGTGATTTCGGAGCTCTCCCTCATCATGTGGTATTTTTCGCGAAGTGATAAGTCCGCACGTATGTGTCGTTAGGCCGTATTGAGCAAGCCGTCGCGGGCGTCACTAGTGGTGGTCTCAACTGGGCCAAAACTTCCCCTAGCAGAGTGGAGGTAAGTAAATAAGTAGATGATAAGTTGACGAGCAGAAGCGTAGATGTATCATGTAGGTAGAGCAAAGATAACCGCAGCAACTCACTCAACGCCGCGGCGACGAAGTATAGTGCCCTCGGACGGTGGTCGCTGCAGCTGGTGAGCTCGCTGATAAATTGTGGCTGTGAGGTTTTAAAAAGAAACAATTTTTCCGGTGATAGAAAATGATAATCTCGCTCGAGTCGTACTACCTTCTTAAACAGATTTAAAAATTCTAGATGTGCTGGAGCTTAGTGCAGCGATGTCGATCACACGGTTTGTTCTATAAATGGTTAGGTGGTCGATTGTTCAAACACGTTCAAATGTGCCATCGTTGCGTATTCATGAAACCAAGAAGCAATAAAACGAAAAAGAGTCAAAATGATAAATACCTTCGTGGTGAGCAGCCGTCTCTTATTGGGCCTTCTCATTCTAGATAGTGGACTTTACATCGGTTTCGCAGGGATTTAGGGCTTACAAATATTAGGTACAGGAATTTTACCCTCCTCCGACCAGATGGCGTGAACAAACCGATGACACAACGATCACTCGCCAGATTGCTTTATTGTTCGTTCTGTTTGTTCATCAAACGAAATCGGGCAACACGGTTTAGTGTGGTAGCGTATCTTATCTGTATATGAGCGTTAGAACAGATACGATAAAAATTCAACCGCACTACCAGCCCTTATCTCGTATAAAAAAAACTATATGTAGAGTAATGCCAAAGTAGAGTGACACGGTAACACGATGGCTATGGACATCTATACAAGAAAACGTGAGGTTCATACGTGCTGATCTGAATATCACTCACAAAATCCAAATTGATTCGCCAACACTGGCAGCGAAAGGGCAGGCACAGCTAGACTTTCTGCTGTCACCAATTCTTTCTCAAGCGCTGTATCGGAGCCTCATCCCTCACCCACATTGGCACAATGCCGTGGCGTAAATGTTGGCCTAATGTGCATGTACATAAGTTGTGTGGTTAGTGGTGCCACACAGAAATTCTCATTTCAATCTTGTCAGCCCTACTGTCAACGGCACGACTAGGCACTGGGCTGCACTTCGTTTTCACACTCGCCTGTAGTATGCCGTGACCCACCGCCTCCGAGCTACATTCTGCCATTATATTTGCCGGCGACACAGTGGAGTACTACTATATGGTTTTTGAAGCACTCGGACTGCGATGGCACCGCGTGTCAGTCGTCCTGCCAATCGAGGAGGAAGTTGAGGTAGAATCCAATCCCGGTGGTCATCGGCGAGCTAGTTTCACAACATATGATACTGAAGCAATCTATAGAACGGTTTGGGAATCGGTTCAAGCGAGAATATTCGCTTTGGCGCACGTTACGCTCGTATACGTTGATTCCAGTTCAATTCTCACCTACTGCGTGATCCAGCACCCTTAGCAATGCGTTGCCGGGCATCATTCAAGGCGCTGGAGAGTCCACGATACGTGAGAGTCGTGGTGAGTGTGAGAAGACAGGGCCGAAGGGCTTACATCTCGACGAGGATTCAGATGAGGTGGTAGCGACAAATGACGAAGGTGCTGAGACCGCAATATACTCCAGCACATCACTAGTCAGTCTTAGCGCTGAAAATGTTAATGAAAACGATGCAAGTTCAGCCAAGGGCCGTAGTATGTGCGGTAAAATGGACGATACATCAGGCGCGTTGATATTTGACGACACGTAATCACCCGTCGAGGTCGAAAGGGCGTCCGGCACCTTTCAGACTCTCAGTAAAGGACGGGACGAGCTAGGCAACGCCGTAACCGCTGCTAAAAGCCCTATCACGTGTGAGCAAACCGTCGCTCCGGTATCGGAGAACGACGCATCCGACCATGAGCTGCTCTATGCTGAGGAGTACATGCTGAAGATCCCGAATCGGCTCGCCAGAGCCAAGATCTGACATCAGTAAAAAAAAAAGCGGACAGGCTTTTGGTGCGTCCTGCGCTCTCGCAAGCGCAGATGTGGCGGAGTCGGTGAATTTTTTTTCGTATCAAGGGGTGTATAGCGCAACCTAGCGACGTTGCCAAGCCAGCCGACTTCAGATGGGCACCGTGCTTGGATTTCTGCTCCAGGATACGGGTCCTCCCGCCAGGATGACAGGTCCTGCGCATGGATGGACGTGCTCCGAGTGTGGAAGTAGGCGGTACAGGTAGCGAGATCGCTCCCTGGAAAGGTCTTTAGCGTGTGTACCTCATATACGCCTATGGGCTCGTCTATCTTCAACGGATAGGCACTCTGCCAGACTGCTTGGTTGGGTCTTGGACAATTATAACCTAATGGAGAAGTGCGGGGCAAGCGTCCACTTCAGGCTGCAGCCTTGGGCCCCAAAAAGGGAATCCTGGCGTGGATGTCCTCGCCAGGGTGTGGGAAGTCAGAAGTAAGTACGCTAGGACATAGACAGCTTGTGTACAGTATCTCAGGTGCAATTCTGGACTGGTTGATAGCCAGCACATAGAGCTATATACAAATGAGTTAGCAATATGTAGCAATCCAAATACAACAGGCCCTAGGCTCACTCGAGTCTTAAGTCAGGCACCTAGCAGCCTGAATACGCATAGTACAAACGCGCATCACCTCAATTAAAAAAAACATTTGTTGAGCTCCAGGATACGGTCAGTCCACACAGCAGTCAATACAAATTCCCAAAAGGCGACTACTTAGCTTTCAGGAAAAATATAAAATGGGCGAAGCACTTACAAATTAGTGATCCAACTACGATATAAAACAGGTGGATCACTCCAAATATATGCTCGCTGGTCACCACCTAGCTGGGCTTGAGCTTAGATGGAATTGCAACGAAGTGATCAGTCCTTCTTGATCAACTTGCCCGGAATGTGTGGAGGCGCGGCGGTGTGATTGCTTCTTCTTTGCGGCGCTTATCTTCCTAGTTTATTCCACGCCAAACACTTCTGCGTAACGAGGAAAAACAAGCACTGTTTTAGATTATCAATAGGTCCAAAGTCTTCTGTCTTCTTGCACCTCGTACATTCATCATGTAGCTCTTCTTCAAGTCTTCGTAGAATATCCTGTCGTCTGTATGGCTATGTTTGTCCTCGTGCTGTAGTCAGCTCTGACTTCTCGTAGTCTTCGTTTGGGCATGGATTGAGGCAAATATCTCGGTCTCAGTATGGGATAGTCTTGCTGACTCGACAGGGTCGTGCCTGGGCGCGCATCCAGCGTAACGAACTTCAAACTTGCGTGTCACTTCATTACGATGCCAACCAGTCGCCTTGATACATATTTATCCAGATACGCACAGTCTGTTCTTTACCTGGGTAAATGCTCTTCAATGGCAGTGTATCTTGGATGATCACTTGTAACTTCCACGAATACTTTCCATCCAGGCGCAGATTGCTCTAGGGCTGGAGCTGCACCGTTGTCTTGGAACGGAATGCACTTGCTGCCTACTGCAGCGTAGCAAGAGACTTGATACACTTGATTTTGATTGTAATTCTGGCATGCGAACGCGTACGGCTGCATCTTTGAGTATCTGACCACGTAATCCTGGTGCGGTTATGTTCAGGATCCCTTCTTGCGCACTAATCGCTGTAATCCTGGTGTGAACGCGTACGGGCTTCATCCTTGCACACTAACACATGTAATTCGCTCCAAATCTTGCCTCGAAGAACACGCAAGTGGCTACACATAGCCAGTTGGCTACGAGCGAGTTTTCCACGTTGGTGTGAGATACACCAATGATTACATATTGCAGACTGTTGGTCTGCATGCATTTAGGACATTCATTGGTTAAACGTCAATATCCTCAGCCAATTAGGATGGTAGGATTCAGTCAATCATTTGCTGTAAAATACCTTTCATTTAGAAAATTAGATAAGGAGGAAAACCCAAACAAACAAATGAACAGCTCTCATTTTTACCGAAAATCGGCTTTGCTTTCCCATTTAATTAAATCTATACTTTCGGACGAAGGTATAGTTAACCTAAGTGAAACGCAACTTACGCTTCATCATACACGTGCGCTATTGTGCAAGCCAAAGTAGTGAGATACAAGTAGGCCCGTTACACCTGGTAGCACTGTGTAGTCCGTCCAACGACCGACTAACTGACGAGTTCGTATGAAACACGAACACGGGGTGGAGAACAAACCCATGGACTGTAATCCATCCATCCGTAGCCCAAGTGCTTCTGCCACGTACATTGTGCGTGCAGTCTGACCCATCTGGCGGGTCCGGCTTAGGAACCTCCTTAAAGACTGTCAACAGTCATTGGAGAGGCAGCAACAATGCTACGTACGTTATCACCGACAGAGCAAAAAGGTGTTGCTCCGGGATTCGTCATGAGCGATCTGTGCGATTTTACTGCTACAAAAGTGTCGCCCGGGACGACACCGCGTGTGCAGTCGATGAAGCTGCACG